GAATAAAATTAAACGTGTTCAATATTGATGCTTTTACATAAACATAATTAAACACAAACTTATTTGCAGTATAATATAACTTAACAAAAAAGTAAACGTATAAGTACCTAAACATAATATGTCAATTGTAAATGTTATTTACTTATATATTACAAAAAAAAAACAAATCTGGAGATATTTTACTGAAACAATCCTGCCCCCCTCCCTGCCCCCTACATCCACAGACATACTCACCCTCTATCACACAAACATACTCACCCACTCACACACATACTCACTCACCACCCACCCACCCACCCCCCCCCCCACACACACACACAGTACTCACTCAGTGATGTCTGCCAACATTCTCAACTTAAGAAAAATATACTAAATAAGTTATCCAGGCCGCAAAATCGAGTTACGCTTTTAACAAGCTCACGGTGGAGAAGAAAGCAAATCTTAATTAATCTTAAGCTGCTCCACTTTAAAAAATGTGATCCTAGCTTTCCCATTTTAATTGCTATTTTCTTTTCCTCATCCCTATACTTAAAAATGCTTTTTTTCATCTTTTCTAAAGTTAGTACTCGCCCCCCCGATCTTGACATAAAATGTAACATACTTCACATGAAAATGATAGTATTACACATTTTTATTCTATATGAACTACCTACCAACCCAACAAATATATTCGCCATTCTAAATCTTTAATTTCATCTAACTCAAAAAGTTGTATTAAAAGCCTGCCATAACCTTTGAACGCTCCCACAAGATAAAATAATGTTTGTTGTTTCTATTTCCTGCTTACAAAACGAACATAAATTATCACCAACAAAACCAAATCTATGAAGATGCTCATTAGTGTATATGGCTCCATGCAATAATTTAAATTGAAATTCACGTTGTTTTCTAATGAGTATAGTAATTCTTGGTCTCACAATATTTCTTTAATTTTTATCTATAAAATCATAGTCATTTTGCCCATCCCTTACCTGCAAATCATACGTTCGCTGCAGTGCTTTGATGAAATAATCATAGATTGTTCTTGAACCCACATCCACAAACTGTATTTTTTTACTAGAAATATGGAAATAAGTATTAAAGCTTATCAAATCAACCTCGAGGAATTCTATTGACCCTGAATCATCCTTCCATAACCTGGGTATCGCATCATAAATATCAATAATCATAAGCAAATTATTACCTTTCATACCGAGGTTCATAAATATTTAACAGGCTTAACATGACCTTTTCTCAACCAAATGATTCATTTGAACAATCCCTCTTTCAAACAAGTATCTATCAAATATACTTTTCCATTTATACATATATTCTGATTATTAAAAATAATGGATTAATATAACCCTCCAAATATCTTAAATTACTTGTCTCTTGCCATGCTTGCAACATTTCCATATAGTATGGTGGAATATCTAAAACGAGTTTAATCTTGTTTTTAAATCATAATCACATAAAAATAAATCTACCACCCACAAACTGTAAGCAATGATCAAAAAACAATTTCCATCCCAAACTTTTCTCTCCATATAAAAGACGTTTTATCCACATTATGCGCTGTATTTTAACGGACATTTCAAAATTAATCATTCTTAATCCTCCAAAGTCATAATCCTGATACATTATTGCCCGTTTAATTCTATCTTTCCCCCTCCATATGAATTCAAATGAAATTTTTGCAACTTCTTTATATACCCAATGAGGGACAATAACGAGAGATGAAATATAATTTAATTTTGAAAGCGCATAAGTTTTTAGCAAATGTATTTTACCCATAATAGTTAAATCTCTTTGTTTCCACCATACAAGCATTTTTTTTATTTTACTTAGAATTTCTTTATAATTCAAATCATCTTTTAAACTTCGATCTAATGAATAACTAACCCCTAAAATATGTATTTCCTTAACCAAATTTCCAAATAAAGGCCCATCAGGTTTTTCTCATCCTCACCCATCCACATAAAATGTGTCTTTGTTTTATTCACTTTAAGACCACTAATTTTTTCAAATGATTCAAAAATATATTGCAACCTTCTAACCGAATCAATATCCTTCAAAAATATTGTCATATCATCTGCATATAACACTTGCCTAATTTCAGATTTTTCCAAATGTAATCCCTTTAATACCGTTGTCCCTCCTTACTGCATGCGCCAAAATTTCGATGGCAACCAAAAACAAATATGGCGATAATGGATCCCCTTGCCTTACTCCCCTTTCTATTTCAAAATACCCCGTGGAGTGACCACCGTTCATAACACAACTACTTATCCCTTTATACAATAATTTTACCCAAGAGCAAAATGAATCTCCAAAACCGAACAATTTCAATATTTGAAATAAATATCTATGAGATACAGAGTCGAAAGCTTTCTCAAAATCCACTGCACACACACACAAACACACACACACGCACACACACAAATAATATTAATATATAATATATATATATATATATAATATATAATATATATATATATATATATATACCCTCCCTCACTTTCTTCCCCCTCTCCCTCTTGCCCTACCCCTCCTCTCTCTATCTCTCCTTCCTTTTTCATCCGGTCTCCGTTAGAGATATTGGAAGCTCAGACCCCAATATATGGTGGATGAAAGTGATGTATAGACTGATTATGATTTCTTGGTGGGTAAGATGAGGGAGAGCGAAGTTGAAATAACAGAAATTGTAGATTTTGATTTTGTCGTAAAATTTGTGGGGCTCACAAGACTTTAAAGGGGCTTTAAAGCCCCTGTACACTAGTTTGGCATGGAGGAATTAGACCTCCCTGCGAGATCAGGTGGTTATCTCATCAAATCAGCTCTCTCAATTAACATAAGAAAAAGGGCATCATGGGGGATCAACGGGTATCGCTTTCGGCATTGTGAGCTGTATAAAGGGCGCAATAAGCTATAAGTAGTACAGTAGGGCTTCAGTACTTATGCTATTGAGCGATGTATCTTCTGGTGTAACCTCACTCTGTGTGCCTTTTTCTTACCCACTGGTAAATGTTATTTATATGTTCACATTCTCATGTTCAAATATGTTCTGATATTCTAATTAATACAACGCGTTTTTTCTAATTGAACATTTTCTCTTCCAATTCTTCTAATGGGACTCCTATAAACTAATATTATAATACTGTAAGTTGTACTTTGTTTGGGTATTATGAATATAATATTGTCTAGGTATTATTGTGTTAATGATCTTATTCAACAAATGTTTATTCTCTTTTGTTGGCCCTGTCGCTTATTCTCTTTTTGCACCATATGCAATCAGTAATAACAAACTTTCGTGATTTTTTTATTTGAGTTTAATTGTCTTTCTAATATTTGTATTATAATCTTGAATACTTTGAAGTGATTTTTGTTTGGCATTTACATATATATGAACGATTTGTTTGATATTAACTTTACATGCAAACAATTTGGGTACATTGGTAAACTGATATCTTTGGCCATCAGTCTTCTCTTGGTCAGGATGTCTCGAGTTCCAGCGTTCAATAAAACTTCCACTGGCGTATCCATAAGTGAGAAACCGTACATGGGCAATGGAACCCCCCCCCCTCCCCCACCCCGGAGTATATTATGAGAAGAGCGTGTGTTGTATCCCGGCAGCCCCGGAAGATGTACAGTATATACACTGATTGCAAGTTTCCCTCTCGGTCAGGATGTCTCAAGTTGCAGCGTTCAATTAAACTTCCACTGGCGTATCCATAAGTGAGAAACCGCGGGAGGGGCGGCATCCTCGCTAGAATTATACGTAGAGAGAGTGTGTATGAGAAGTACAGGGTGATGTACACCCATTGTATTAAAGTTACATTGAGTTTCATTTTTCGCGAGGTTTAAATGTGTAATGAGTGTGTAAGGGTGTGTGCTTTAATACTCCGGCTTATAACGTTATCCTCTATATATACGCCTCTGATTTTCGATATTTCTTTGCCCCCCCCCCCCCCCCAAATCAATAGGCCTCGATCCATATGTGTGTTTGATATAATTATTCTTCAAGGTAAAATCAAGATTTTGAACACATTCTCTTGCTTGTTATCCCTCAGGGTTTGACATATATGACACGTGCACTGATCCCAATATCGCCGTGAGGAACTCGGTCTACTTCATCGCTACACAGGATTCATCAAATTGCGACAGGTAGGTTTATACGCGATGAGAATTTACAATGAGAAAGAAGGAGAGAGGGGGAAAGATTTAAGAGGGATGAGGAGAGCAGAGATATGGGGTGGGCTGGAAGAGATGCGGAGTGAGGGAGAGGAGAAGGGGGAAATTTAGGGTGAATAAGAGAGTGGCAAGAGAGAGGTAGGGAGAGAAAGAAGCGGAGCTTCACAGATATCAAAAAGCTACATAATGAAAGAAACGAGAGAGAGAGAAAGAGAGAGAGAGAGAGAGAGAGAGAGATAAAGAAATTAACGAATGAAAAAAATTGCAATGAGGGTACATGCAAACATTTCACGAATGCCTACCGACACCCCCCCCCCCCCCCCCCCCAAAAAAAAAAAAAAAAAAAAACTTTAAATACCCCTCAATCTCCATATTGCTTGCAGCGATCAATCATTACGTATAAGAAATTAGAATCGGAAAATTTCATCGAAAATTGCATCTTCTTCCAAGATAATAACCAATTTCTTTAAGGTGTCTGGTAGCCGTAAGCAAATTAAAGTAAAATTACATACTAGGTGGTAACGTCCCATTCACACCGCTTAGACTAACACCAGACCGGAAATAGACCAACCATAAATATTACCCCCGAATGACCTAGTCCATGTCTGTTATTGATCGATTCGTCGGTGTGACGGGGTTGTAAAATAGCAACAGCTCGAGTCTTCATAGTTATGATTGATGTTGCTTGAATAATTTAAGTCTTACACGTATCAGAAACTCATCGATCGATTGCTCTTTAACTATGCATAATGATGTCTATCCTATATTCTCATAACACAATTTTGTTACCTTTTTGCACTCGAAGGCAAACCTCATTCTATGTCTGGTCGAAGATGAAATAACCTTCCCTTTCATCGAGCCCGATGTAGTTTACACGTTATTCGTATTGTGCATTATATCAGAACATTGCGACGCACATTAATAGATTAATAAGCCAGAGGCCCACGTCCCCTTTAATATGTTTTTTTGCCCTCAAGCAAGCGCTCCGCCCCCAGGATTTACCTTTTCATACAATAGAGTGCATTTCTTGGAAAATATGGGAAGCGGCATTATCAGCAAAACAAAAAGCCCAGCAATCTTTGATTATTAATAAAATAAAAAACAATGGTGGATACAAACAGATTTCAATGTTTTACATTTGTTGAAAAACAAGCTCTAAACTGGCAGTGCAGAAAATGAGAATTTTTAGCAAACTGTACGAAAGGAACGTATAATGGATGCTACTTTGCGATTATTTGCGATGATTTTGTTTGTTTACTTACCTCTTTTCCATTATCACTACTTCAATTTTATTTTCTCACATTACCCGTTCCCCACCCCCTTCCTCCTCTTCCATCAGCCTCTTCATTGTTTTCATTTTCTTCTTTTTTTCTTTATCGGTTGCCTCTTCTTACTCTTTCATCTAACTCTTTCTACTTCATCTTCTTCTTGCTTTCCCCATTTCTCTCTCTCTCTCTCTCTCTCTCTCTCTCTCTCTCTCTCTCTCACACATACACACTCTCCCCTCTCTCTCCTTCTCTTCTTCTTTTTCTTCTTCTTCTTCTTCATCTTCTTCTTCTTCTTCTTCTTCTTCTTCTTCTTCTTCTTCTTCTTTTTCTCCTTTTTATTCTTCTTCTTCTTCATCTTCTTCTTTTTTCTTTTCTTCTTCTTCTTCTTCTTCTTCTTCTTCTTCTTCTTCTTTCTTCTTCTTCTTCTTCTTCTTCTTCTTCTTCTTCTTCTTCTTCTTCTTCTTCTTCTTCTTCTTCTTCTTCTTCAAAGATGAGCACTCTTGGCTGCACCGGCCTCCCCTATTCCGACGATAAAGATAGTAATTTGATCTGTCCACGATCGGAAAAATCCTTCTCGTCATCATAATGAGTAATTACGGGGAACGTGCTTACCCTCTTCCCCTTCCCCGTAGCTACGCAACTGGATGTTGCATTCTAGTTGATAGGGATTATTAGAATGCTCCTTAATCAAACAGATTAACATCATTAGTAGTAGGACCATCAACGCGACCAAAGGAAGGAGGGGGCCTCTCCCTCCATTGGGAAACTTTTCTGAGTTTGCACCTAAAAATTATTTCTTTGTTTTTCTTTCTTTCATTTGAATTCAATGTTCTAGTAAAGCAGTCTATAGCTCCCTCCAGTAGCACCATCGACCACCAGTGCGGCCCTAGGAATGGGGTACCCCCCTTTGCTCTGGGGATCTTCCCTGCATGATATTCATGATTTTTTTTTTTACTCGATCGCAACCATTTTTGAAAAATCGACTCAAGAACAATTCGAATACCTTATTTTACATTCATTAGAAATCATGATCGGATTACGTAATACATCATTGTCATGTTCGCACAATTCAACAGATGACGCACAAGCCAATTGCATCGCCCATGGTTGAGTTTTAGATAATCTTTGTGATAGATCTGTTTGTAATATCCATCTAGTTGATTTTTTTCACGCAGCGAATCTGGTTAATAGTCATTAGCTGCTGTAGCAGTAAGAACATTGAGAAGAAGCATCTCCCCTCAGTGATCTTTTCTGAGTTTGCTCCTAAATGTGAAAACTTTCTATTCATGTTTCTTACTCGACATGCAGTGATTCAGGCCATCAGTCTATAGCTGCCGTAGTAGGACCGTCCACAAGCAGTGCAGCCGTCTCTGTGGCAAGCCTTTTTAATCTCTTCACTCTGCCTCAAGTCAGCTATGCTGCTACCAGTGATATACTCAGCGAATCAAGATTCAAGTAAGTACAACAATCATAGAAGTTCAGAAAACATGCATTTACTTTCTAATCTTTACTTTAAGTTGTATTACAATTTCCATTTATCAAAATGCAAAGGAGTTTTAACATGAAGACGGCGTAAGCACCTACCCCATCCCCCCCCCCCCCGCTTAGAGCCTATTAAAAACTAAGCAAAACTAGCTCCCTAATGGGAACCTGCTACAAACAAAATAATCAAAAAGTATTAAAATCTGAAGCATTCATCCTTTGATATGAAGGGCAATGTATATGCGCCATTGTTGTGGGTAATAACAGTAAATGACTTTCAAAGTCACTTCAAAACGATTTGAAGTTTCTATTTGGAATGCAAGCTAACCGCTGAAAACTGTCACTTTAATTTAAAAAAAATAAACATCCAAGACCATCCTATTTCTCTACGGCCCATTTTGTATTTATTATGGCACCAATGTCATCGAAACCAAAAAAAAACAGAGATTTCCTACAAACTTTACCCAAATTGCTCTTTTTTTTCAAAGAATTCAAAACACATATCATATTTTAGCATCTCTTTGCTACACTGTTTTCTCAACACAGTTAATTTTCTACATATATTTTTCGTTATCTATGAAATTAAGTTTTTCCCTTCATTCTTTCTTCTAGTTACTTTACCCGGACTATCCCGACGGACACGTTCCAAGCCCGAGCCATGGCCCACCTCGCCAACCACTTCGGCTTCCATACCGTCGCCCTGCTCGGTAACGATGAGGGGGCGTACGGCGTGAGCGGCGTCTATGTCTTCGAAGACGAGGCTTCCAAACACAACATCTGCATCGCCTACAAGAAGATCTTCGGCGTCAGCGATGACCGGTCTGACTTCGAGAGAATCGTCACTGATCTCAGGTTAGTGTTCGATGACAGCTACAAAGGGCACAGAAGCAGGTGCCCCGGTCAAATGGCGTTAAGAAAATGAAAAGGGTGAAAAGGAGAGTAAAGGGACAGAAGTAAAGAAAACGTAGAAAGCCACACCTTTCGCACGCCTTCATCTTCTCAGCCCTCTCTGAATTTCATTCACCTGATAAGACCGATGCCCCCCCCCCCTCCCAATGAAGTCGATACCCCCTCAGTGTCTGTACCCACCCAACGCCACTCGTTGATATCTGGGCGCCATAATCTGGGTGCCATAATTGCGTCTATCGCAGTTAGTCTAAGCAACTTTAATTATTAGAAAAGGTCAGGATCCCGTAGAGGTTGGAAATAGCGTAATAATGGCAAGAGTAAATAGGACAATAACACACAAGATATCCTATCCATTATTTTTTTTAAATATAAAAACATACATAAATAATTAACAGTGGATGATAAATATAAGGGGAGCTTAATCTAATCTTACTCCCTATCATGCAAAGTGGCGGATCCAGGGCGATTGGGGGGTGGGGGAATACAAAATCCCCTCTTACAACCAATGTGACATACCTAAAACACACGAACCTCCCTCCCCCCCCCCCACAATCGTGTTTTTGAAGCCCCTTTGGAGGTCCACAGAAAAGTGGCAATCCAATTTCAGGGGAAAGGTTTTAAACGTTTTTTTTTTTTTTTTTTTTTTTTTTTAAGTTTTGAATTTGCCCCCAAGAAATCTTTCGTACAGTTTAAAAATATGGATCTGCCCCCATACATCTTACCTAATTTTTTTTTTTTATGGTCAGTTTTTATTCTTTTCTCTCTTGAAACAAATTATAATCATAGTACAAATTACAATCATCATAACTCTCACTGCAAATGTGATGACATTATAAATCAGTATAAATTTTTGTCTTACAAACGGCTTCAAAAGAAACTTACATAGTTAGTTCCTATACATCATATTTGAAACAAAAATTCATATTTTCAAAGAAAACATATGCAGTTGTATAATCCAATTTTTGTTTTGTTTTAACAATGTAGCAACTTATACTTCTTTTTATACTGTTGTCCTGAGAGAAAAGTTTTCTCTTTTTGTTAACCCTACCCTACCCGACCTCTCCCTTATCCCCATTCCCCCCGGTGGACGACTGGCTCTGGGTTCCAATTGTTTGTCTAATACTCAGGTTTTCCCATTTAGAAAAATGAATAGTGAGAGTTCCCCTCATTGCTGCCAATTTCCTTTCTTCTACTTTATCCCCTATTATACTATTCTTTATTTCATTAAAAGAGGGTGGTTTTTTAAGTTCTCTATTTCTATAAATCAGATATTTAACAAGAATTAAAACATGATTCATTAATTGATATTTTCCTTTATTTCTCTCCTCTTTCCCATACAGAATTTCCTCCAAACTACAGTTATGTATTTCAAAGTCTAAAAATCTCGTGCACATTTCCCACACTGATTGTGCAAATTCACAAGTATAGAATAAATGTTTATATGTTTCTTCATCTTTTTCGCAAAATGAGCATAAGTTAGTCGAGACAAGACCAAAACGGAAGAGGTGATGGTTTGTATATAATATATTATGTATAAGTTTGAACTGAAACTCTCTTAATCGACTGTTAAGTGTACACTGTCTTAGTCTTAAAAATATGTTTTCTATTTCCTTACAAGAAAAACCATAGTTCCTTCCAATTCTCTCAAAAACCAAAGGTTTAAAATCATCTTTCTTTATTAATTGTACATAAATTTGTTTTGATTTTAAATCAGCTATATTAGTTGTTTTCTTCCCCAAAGTGAAATCAGTTCCAGAATTATTTTTTTCTTCTCCCTTTCTAAAATTATTTTTCCAACAAACTGGTAAACAGGTATAAAAGTGCTTGATCTTTTCAATTTCATTTACTTCAACACCTAAATCGATAAAATGCCTGTCACTTTTTAGTTTACCATCGTTTTCCAGAATATGTTTTAATTTGTAAATTCCTTTGTCATACAACCTCTTATCGTATATACAACTTCCTTTATATCGAATAAGTTTATTATTAAAAATTACCACATCACCAATGTCTATACTCCTTATATGTCTCGTATTCACCCAATCTTCTAATAAATCCTTATAAAATTGTGGAGCTGTCACTTTTAATAAACTTGGTATATAGTCACATGAAAATATCAAATCTCCACCCACGTGTTCAGTGACAAAGTTAAAATATTGTTTCCATTTCATGTCTTCATCTTTGTTTAGAAGTTTTTGAATCCACATAATTCGCTGCGATTTAACTTGTGCAGAAAAATTTAACATCTTTAACCCCCCTTGGTTATAGTCTAAGAACATGGTGTTTCTATTGATTTTATCTGTTTTTCCTTTCCATATGAAATCAAAAGTTAATTCATCCAGTGAATCATAAACCCATTTTGGAACAGGAGTAAGTGACGCCCGATAAAGAACTTTAGAATAAATGTGCACTTTCAATAGTTGAATCTTACCCATAAGTGTTAAATCCCTTTGCTTCCAAAAATTTAAAAGTGTTTTTATTTTACTTAAGATTTCTTTATAATTTAGATCTTCTTTCTTGTGTTCATCGAGGGAAAAGAAAATCCCTAAAACCTTAAGAAAGTCAACTATTTCGCCAAAAGCAAAATCACAATCTAAACGTTGACATGAACCTAACCTTAATATTTTAGTCTTGTCGTTGTTTATTTTCAGTCCAGAAATTTTTTCGAAATCTGCAAATAATACTTTTAACCTATTAATTGATTTTTTATTGCGAACAAAAATTGTCATATCATCCGCATAAAGTACTAGTTTAGTTTCCTTATCTCCAAAATTAATTCCGTCCACCAATTTATCTATTCGTAATTTGTGTGCCATTACTTCAATACACAAGATAAAGAGGTACGGAGAAAGAGGGTCTCCCTGTCTTACTCCCCTTTCTACTTTGAAATAACCAGTGGACCCTCCTTCATTTAATACACAACTTAGAGTGTTCATGTATAAAACTTTAACCCACTTTTGAAAGGACGGACCGAAACCAAATGACGACAGAACTTTTTGAAGAAATTGATGTGAAATTGAGTCAAAAGCTTTTTCGAAGTCTACAGCTAACAAAAAACCAGATAAATTGTAACGGGATGTATGAAAAATAATATCATCTATAATGCGAATGGCCTCGCCAATATTCCTCCCTTTCATGTAGCCCACCTGATCTCCCATAATGATCTCATTTAATACTTTCTTGATTCGCTTAGCCAAAATTTTTGTTAAGATTTTATAATCGACATTAAGAAGGGAAATGGGTCTATAATTTTTCAGTGAAAAGGGATCTTTCCCATCTTTAGCGATTAACGTAATTACAGCTTGTTTTTGAGACGATGCTAATTCTCCTAATCTATATGCTTCATTCAAGGCATCTTTAACTAAATCTCCAATATTCGGCCAAAAGGTACGATAAAATTCTGAAGAAAAACCGTCATTTCCAGGTGATTTGTTCTGTTTTAATTCTTTTAAGATTTCTAGGCATTCTTTATTACTTATAGATCCTTCACAGTATTCTCGAGATTTTTCAGTCAATTTCGGTAAACCTTGAAAGAAACTATTATAACAATTATCCGAGCACTCGTACTCTACTTTACTGTACAACATGCTGTAAAACTTCCGGATTTCTTCAGTTATCCTTTTTTCATCGCAGCAAATAGCACCATCTGAGGTTTTAATTTTTTTAATAGTACTCTTTCTTTTGTTATTTTGCATTAATTGATTGAAATAACGCGAATCCCTTTCTCCGCTTTCGTACCACGAGGCTCGTGATCGAATCCTAATTCCTTCATTTACATAGCTATAAACTTCCTTTAATTTCTTTTTTGTATTTTCCAATTTTTCTAAAGTATCTGCATTAGTGCTTTCCGTCAATTGTTGTTCTAAACATTGTATTTCTTTTTCTAAATCTGTTCTTATTGTTCTTCTTTGATCAGCCAATTTTTTTGAAAATTTTTGTGTAAAGCTCCGAATTTTCATTTTAAAAAAATCCCATAACAACCTTTTGTCTTTTATTTTAGTTTGCAATTCGTTTTTTAATTGACAAATTTTCTTTTTTAACTCTCTAACATAATCTTCATTTTCACATAAACTATTATTGAATTTCCAATATGACCCTTTTCTTCCATTCGTTTTATTGACTGTTTTGTCAAATAAACGTAAAAATATTGAATGATGATCAGGGGCAACAGATGGAATTATATCGCACTTCATAACCATTTCCTCTAGACATTCTGATATTATCCAGTAATCTAGTCTACTTTGCATAAAGGGATTGTTTTGCATATAAGTGAATTGCCTTTTTAAAGAATGCCTACATCTCCAAATATCCAAAAGCTGCAAATCTTCCATGAATTTTTCAAATTCTCGATTAAATCTTTTCGAAATCCTGTTTAAAGATTTCCCGTTATAATCAAATTCAATGTCCCTAATCATGTTAAAATCACCACCTATTATAACCGGGTAGTTATCTTTATTTAACTTAGCCAGATTATTGCGTAATTTTCGAAGAAATTGCAATTGATCACTCTCAAAATTTCTTGTTGGAAAATACACATTGCCTAAAATCAACCTTACACCTTGAAACTTACAGTCTATAAAAATATATCTACCCTCACTGTCTTTTAAGACTTGCAATATCTCAATATCTATCCTCGGCGCAATCAAAACGAGAACTCCTTTACTGTGATTAGAACCATGACTAAAATAAGTAGAACCCTCCCACATTGAAGCCCACTTGTCCTCACAATCGCTAGTACTAAATGTTTCTTGTAGGAAAACAATGTCCGCCCCTTTATCTTTACACCAGAAAAATATGCGTTCCCTTTTATCTCTGTCCCTGATCCCTTTCACGTTGAGGGAGAACAATTTACAATTAATCAGAACATCCATAACCTATCACACACAAGAAAATTTAACCCAGTCCCAGAGCCAATCCCCCACCTTAAAGGACCCCACGAAAAGCAAGAACGAAACCCCGTCATCTGGGAAAGAAACTGATACATGTAAGGCATGCAATATTGCAGCTCCCCCGCCCCACCCCTCCCACTCTAAAAATTTCTATTTGAAGGTAACATTCCCGAAAATAAGGCTATAAAGGATTATGTACCCTCTCCACATTGAAGGTGCTATAATAGCCTGACTTACAGAATACACAAAATAAATGCTTCCTTGCAATTATAAAAAAAAAAACATGTCATGTACGAAAATCTTTGAAGGCTCTTGAATCTATTAATCACAAATTGATTAAGTATTCAGGAGTAAATTACATTTCAATAATCAACATATAAAAAGGGAACATCCTTAATAATCACAGGGTTGTAAACCAGTATCTTCCCATATAATAGCTTAACTACCAAGTAAATACCAACATGAAAAACATGCAGCTGGTAAGTACACCTGGGAACAACCAATACTCTCCGAAGCTACATCTTATCTTCTCTTATTAAGGAGTGATGCATTTCACCAACAGTCTCACAATAATAACTACAGACCCTTGGAATTTGCATGCATATAAAAAAAAAAATATTTAAACAAAAAGATGACATTCTTGAGACGCATGTAGTTCGAAGCTTAAATACTTCTCAAACATAAGGAAATTTGACTTGGCAACAGCCCTGAAAAAAAAATGAAGCAATTATTTGACTAAGAATAAGAGTTATCCATTTACATTCCAATACTCTCCGAAGCTACATCTTTTCTTCTCTTATTAAGGAGTGATGTATTTCACCCAATCAACAGTCTCACAATAGAAACTACAGACTCTTGGAATTTGCATGCATATAAAAAAAGTTTTTTTTTAAACAAAAAGATGACATTCTTGAGACGCATGTAGTTCGAAGCTTAAATACTTCTCAAACATAAGGAAATTTGACCTGGCAACAGCCCTGAAAAAAAAAATGAAGCAATTATTTGACTAAGAATAAGAGTTATCCATTTACATTCCAATACTCTCCGAACCCTACATCCGAAGCTAATTACAGTGCATCATCGATCGAAACTGATAGTATTTTTGTCCTTTTCTAATTCCTTCCACTATTGCAGACAAATCCCAGATGTACGGGTAATTGTTGCCTTCGCCAACGAAGCTCCCATGAACCAGCTACTTACCTATTTCGCTGAGAACAACGTCACCGGCTATATGTGGATAGGCAGCGATGGTTGGGGAGCATCAAAAACCGTACTGGACCCAAAGATATCTCGGGTTACCAGCGGAATGATCGGCGTCTTCCCGCACACTGAGACGATCCCCAAGCTCGAAGACTACATTCTCAGTCTGACCCCGAAATCGTTGGACTACCAGGATCCATTCTTGAACGAGTACTGGCAAGACTTCTTCCAGTGTCACTTGCCAGGCGTTTCTGAGAAGAGCGTTTACTACTACGATCGGAAGTGCACGGGAGAAGAGTCCTTTAACTCTTCCCTTGCCTTCTCCAATACATCCTTGGTCTCATCAGTCGTGGATTCTGTGGAAGTTGTTGCCCGTGCTATGCATAAAGCGCTTTCCTGCAACGATGTACAGTGTGACACACGTTCAGGCGGTATCCCAGGGGAAGTTTTGATTGACTACATGAAGAATGTGGACTTCATGGGCCACTCCGGCTACAGGTTGGCTCCGGACGAACGGGGAAATCTTGCGGAAGTCGCCTGGTACGACTTCTACAACTTGCAACCAAAGTATCCATGCTCGAATGAGTTCCATCTAAACATAGTTGGCCATTGGAAGGAAGCTGAAGTTTCGATCTCAAACTTGGAAACGATTTACTGGCCAATGACAGACACTTGTACTCTGAAAACTTTAACGCCGACATCGGTGTGTGGAGAAACATGTTACCCTGGTACTAGACGTATTACCCTTGACTTCAGTAGTTGCTGTTGGATTTGTGTGCCTTGCTCTAATAACCACTACACTAACGAGAGCAACGCCTTATCGTGCTCTCCATGTAGCGATGAACAGGCATCCAGCGAGGACCGAACGGAATGCCTTGACTTACCATATACCTTTACAGAACTAACATCCGAGATCGGTTTGGCCGTCCTGGCAACTGCTATCATCGGCTGGTTAATATGCGTCATCATCATCGTAATCTTCATGCTCAAGGAAAACACAACCATTATTTTCCATGCCTTCGCGCGCACCTGGAAGTTTGTCCTTCTCGGGATCACCATAACGTTCGTCACTGCAACGCTCTCTATCATCCCTGCCTCGGAGCTTACGTGCCTTATCGTAGCTGGTACTCAACTCTTACCTGTATCTGTCACAGAAGGAAGCCTCATTCTTGCTGCCTACTCCACGTACAATCGCAAGCACGTCCAGCTTAACAACTGGGCGCTCTCCATGATCGCGGTCCTCTTCGTTCACGGGCAATGCATCCTGATCTGGATGTTGACCAGTCGCCCCGTCGTCACGAAGACAGTCGATCGCGACCAACGTCTCGTCTACGTCGACTGCGTCAGCTCGGGGAGCTACGATGGCATCATCGTCATCATTGCCTTCTGCATCACTCTTGACGTCGTCGGGATATTTGTCTCCTTCAACATCCGCAACCGAGACAAGAACTTCCAGGAAGGAAAGTTCATCTTCTTTTCCTTTATCATCCAAGTCATGGGTTGGGTGACCATACTGGTCATCTATCTCGTTCTACCCAAAGGTCGTCATTACCGGACTTTTGTCCTCTCTTTCGGCCTTATGTTCTCGAGTGTTGCCAATCTAGGGTGTCTTTTTGTGCCAAAACTGTATGTTGTAAAATGCAAACCTGACATCAATCCGCCGATCAAGAAGAGATATAGAGACAAACTTTGGCAGTGGAAATTCAAGAGGAGAGATGGCGAGGAGGAAGTTTCAGCAGAGGCGAGATTTGGTGAATCAGTACGGGTAATTTATTTTCTTCAGAATGATTTTATTCATAAAATAGAAGAAACAATTTAAAAAATAATAATAATAATAATAATTCTGAAACACATTTTGGTTTCTATGTGCTAAGGAAAATTTAACATATGGTAATATAGTCTTGGTTTTAATACCAAATAATATCGATCATGATGTTATGACACGTATCAAATATTTTAAGACTTTTGTCAAAGGGATGTAGAAACCAGGCGTAACACTTTAAAGTTGCTTTGTGAAAAAAGGGTTTTTAGAGAAACTGTTATTGTTTTGGGAGCTCTTGCGTAACGAGTTGTGTTTAATGTTTAATGCAAGAAATTTTAACAGTTCTTTGGTCAATCTATCCAACTCTTTTTCCATTTTTTCTTTTTCAGAGCCACGCTGCACGTAGTGCAATACTTAATAACTACAGAAAAGCTTTAGCAGCAATACGTGACGAGACGGCGCAGGCTATACGTATGTACGGCATTTGCACCGACCGAATAGACGACATGAAATTAAGGTGAGCATAACAAGACGCTGTAATATTCCAAGTCCATCACATCTTATACAATACAAATTGTTTGGAAGTAATTAAATTGTATTTATATTTCATTTTAATTTTTGTTCTCAATATATTACCCCCCCCCCCCCCCACTCACAACAAAAATAAAAATAAATAAATAGTAGGCTTCGTCGTTTAGCAATGCAGTTGTTGTACAGATGAACAATAAGTTAAAAACCAACACTAAACTTTAAGAATGAAGTAACATTAGGTGCAACATCACAGGGTCATGAACTAAATAACGAAATAATGGAGACAGACAAATAAAGAGTGACTTCACCCTCAACAAATCAGTGGTCATGGAGTAAACTGTTCACTATATATTTTTCCATAATGGAATCAGCCCACTCGTAATTGATCAAAAGATGTTCAACATTACAATCAAGACATTCATTTTAAGTGTTTTTGGCGACGTCTTACAATGATTATTCGTATTCTGATGTCACTTCTTTACGACAAAGCTGGATTTCGTAAAGGATCTCTTTTTAGAAATTCACATTAATGTAATCATCTTCATGCTACATTTTGAAATCATTATTAGCAGAGTTTTATTCGAAAAGGAGCAAAATCTACTTTTGATAAAAATTGAGTTATAGATATCAGAACATTGTTTACTTCAGAGCCTGTCTTTCAACAAAACTATTAACCTAAATTTTGCGAATAACTATGAAAAATGCACCTTTTAATATCACTTTTCCGTAGACGCGTGTACAAAACCTGGTGAACAAATTCTTTTTTCTCTCAAGTTACAAAAATGGATTTAGCTCCGTTTGGAATTAAACTCTTCATTCTTGCTATCATGATCATCCCCATTACAACACCGGCCAGACCGAATGCAATGGATTCAACGTTACTTAAAATATTCGCTGTTGAACTGTACAACATTTTATGGTCTCTAGACTTTGTTTCACAAAAATCATCAGTCCTTATTTGTATTCTGATATCATTCTGTCTTTTTAGACACAGAAGCAAGATGGAGGAGGTTTCCATGACTACCAACAGCATCAAAAGTAGCAGAGTGCAACTCGTCCTCTCTTCACCTTCGATCGAAGTGACGTATTGCTGACGTCACAAATGAATTACCATTTCGAAATGCACCCCAAATTTGAGATATATATAAATATATATATATATAGTTCAAGTTTATATTGCTCTTTTTTTATACTACACATGTACTTAATTGTTCCATAATGGTGCTAGGGTGGCCGTTGAGGTATGCTAGTCGCATGCATTATTGTAATGAATATGAATACTACTTGCGTGCATATTGTGTCACTAATGTAAAGTAATAGCCGATTAACAATCTTGTCGAAAAAGACACCCATTTATCACTTTTGAATTCAATCGGTGTTATAAATAAATATGAGAGAAAACTGTAGGTGTAAACAATGATGGATTATGAACGTACTTTTCAGTTAATAACAAGGAAGACACTGATGGATTGTAACTGTGTTGTGTTTACGCTTTTGTTTCAAATCGGGTTTAACGAACGAAGATTGTCTGATGTCTCGTTTTTTCCTTTGTTAAACGTGATCTGAGACCCGGATTGGGGTTTAACTGAATTGGTAGAATACTGATCAAAGGCTCCGTAGACTTACGTGTCCCATCAGAATAGAATTAAAATGTGTGAATAAGAGACTAACCTAATATTCAATAGCTGGAAAGCTATCAAAATGAATAGCTTTGAATGATTTAACTATATTTGTAAATTCACACAATTAAACAGTGTTCTTATTTGTTTTGTAACCTGGTGGCCAGTACATTAAGATGCGTTGATGAGTTTCAATGAAAGGTAAAGGATTTCTGCAAAAAGAATTTCATCCGTGGGCCTTCTCCCAGTATTCACCAAATACCACATTGAAGTCAATGGCTAGTGAGTCTTAGACTTAACCAAGTGTTCAGTAATACATAAACCACTTTTTCTCAAAATGGCCAAAGTGGGGTTACGTCTTTGTGTCACTGACCCCTCGATATTAAGGAACTATGGCTTTGAGGGAATAATATGGCTATATAATATCGTCATATTTATGAATAGATGAATTAGCAATGTGAGAGTGATTTGAATGATCTAGTGATAACATTGCCAACAAAGAATCTATGTTTTGCAAAAGGGACCTTTCCCATTTCAACAAACACGTAACGATACGTGGTTAGTACGTGCCCACCATCGGCAGTGTGCAGTCAATAGCGATAAAGCGCTAGTTTTTTAAAAGTTTTTATTAAACAAGATGGAAATTCGATGTTGATCCTGGCAGTAGTCAGATGAATTACTTTTTTCTTCTTATGTTTTTAATGGAAGCAGGATGAATCGTCATTATGCGTTTATTCAATCATGTCCATACACTTTGCGGTTTGCTGCCATCACCGGCAATGAAATGTTCATACTTTCTGTAAAGTTATGATTACACGGAAAACATAATTAATGTATTGATGGAGGAAGGGGAGAGGGAGAGGGAGGGGGAGGGAAGGGGGAGGGGGCAACTCAAATTCAAGGGGAAAAAAGTCAATACCTCCTCCCCTTCGTAATATCGAGGGGAACTTATCCCAAAATTCTCTACTCCCCAACTAAGAGACCCAGGAGAGGATCGGCATATTATCCAAATAATAATCCAAAATAATCCTCGTCGCAAACTTTTAAAAAAAAATGGATGTTATCCTCTCACTCTATAACCATGTTTTTGTCGTGATCTCGGGCAATACGTCTTTTCTAAAATAAGAAATACTGATTTACTGTATTTTGATGCAATACTTGTTTTAATCGTACAGAGTGTTTACTTTTGACTATACTTTGACTGTATTATTACGCTGTGACCCCACCCATCCAGCTCCGACTTTTTTGTTTTTAGTTTTGTCTCTCTTACCATTCCCATCCCAATCCTTCGAATTTACAGTGTCAGTCAAAATATGGATATCACGTGGATAATTCTCCGACGACCACCCCCGAGACATTTGTTCTGTGGGGGAGGGGGCGGGGGTGGGGGTGGGGGGGGGGGGGGGGGGGAGAGGGCGCATACTATGTGTATATGTATATGCCAGGGCCCACCCTTCGTCGGTCTTGTAAAATAGTTGCGATTGATCGCAAGCATTTTGCAAAAATTAATGACATCAATCGCAACTCATTAGTAATGAGATAGGAGTTGCGATTGTCTAACTCCCCCACTTCATCTAAGCCACAATGTGTGCAAAGGTCGTTGGTTAAATGCACAAGATAATATGATACATAATGAAAATACGTCCCAAGTTAAATACAAGTGTCTCTGTTCTGAAGTACCTTATTATGTACCTTTTTTTAATAGTTATTATTACTTTTTTTTTAACAGACAGTATTTCGTAGAGTTCAATGTTCACTTTCTCATTGTAGGAACTGTTAAACGTGTGCGTTATTTTACATAAGTTCTTACAATGCTTTTTAAACTCAGAAAACAAAAATCAAAGTATTTGTGATTTTAAAAGTGTTCCTAGCCAGTTACAATAATGTCCGATGTTAATTTTTCTTTTCGTTTTCAATCAAGGGAATTATTCCTAGCCCGTAAATAAAATATGTTTAATATGTGCTAGCGATGCTTGTATTAAAGAATAAACATGTGTGTTATTACCATACCTGATATATTATCTTTAATGTGTATGTGTCACTGTTGGAGAAAAAAGAAACGCAAATAGAAAAAAACCGTACTGAATGTTCTTCATTGGGCCGTTTCTGTAACCATGGTTACCATGGCAATTCAAACAATTATTTTAACAAGCTCTTCTAGCGCATCGTCTCCACCCTATTCCCTACCTAGTACAAGCGTACAACTCTCTCTCTCTCTCTCTCTCTCTCTCTCTCTCTCTTCGATACGCCTTTATTTAGTGTGTATGTTCGGTATTTAAAATTAGGTATTTGAATTTCCATTTCTTTACTAAAAGACATTAACACTTCATCGATTATATTATACAGCCATGAAGCCATAAACATATAAAACAAACTACTGTTTGGAAACCGTTTCTCTTTGCTAACCTTCTTCCAACCGCATAGCATTAGTTGGTTTCAAATCATAATGCATAACCATCACAAAGGATTCTCTTTATATTTAGGTGCACGTCATACAATTTTAATTATATCTCACATCAACAACAGCAAGGTAGTAATAAAAGCTATCTTGAGTAATTTGCAACAAAATGCAAATATTTAAATTCGAAAAGTCATATTTGTAAATGTAATTGAGTTTGACCAATGTTTAGCACATAAAGTCAATTACTACCAGAAGACTATAACTTATCCAATTATCTGTACTATCAGAAGACTAGGAATCTATTTCTGTTCATTATAGTTAAATAATACAGGTTTTTATATTTCATTTGTCTAAAAGTTAATAACCCCATCTTGTTTAGATATTTCAGGCATGCACTACAATATAGATCATGTGCTGTATCAAGCAAGCTTGATTATTATAATTTACATATTGTGCACTCTACATGATACATACGTATATATTGTATAAACATTTTGATATATATATATATAAACGAATCCCACTCAAAAGACTAAATAAAATGTTGAAGGCATATTTTCTGTTCACATAGTACAGTATATCAGTAGAGGAGATCTTCGTCATTGTTAATAACACCTAAAATCAACAAATTTGAAATAGCTAATTTACAATAGGACTGAAGAAATTATGTACATGTATTATATATGATTTATAACAAACAATTAGATACAAGTGTCGCTAATCAGTTTACCCAGGTAATTACATGTATCTGGTAATTCAAGTTCCACTTCTGCATTCTCAAAATTATACGAGACTGCATCCATATTTCGTAGGTTATGACATTTGTCTAGAACAATGCTTGTTTTGGGGTGTTTTTTTGCCAAGATTTAATCATCGTATAGTTATGACAATACAAGTTTGGATGATTCTAGTTTGATAGCAAACGAGAGTTTAATAGCTGGTATTCGAGCAAAAATGATAATAACCTATAACTTCATGGACTTTATGCCATGCATACACACTTGTTACTAACAATGTCTGAAAATTAGCGTGCTTATCTCACGCTTTACATGGTTACATTACATTTGACATTGAAAAGCTAAAAAATAAAAAATAAAAGGAATATATGGATTAAAATCAAAACCTCAACTAGACACAACATGAGCGAGAAAGAACACTTTTCTTTAATCGTTTCTCTAAAAAAAACCTGACAACTTCCGCACTAGCCTACTTCATAGAAAAAATAGGTTGGAATAAGTCGAAATGTGATTTTCAGTACACACTGATATAGCTGAAGCCACAGCGCGCTGCAGCGGAGCAGGGCTAGCTTATCCAAAAAGGTGGAGAGTGGAATTTTCTAAATCATCCTCTTAATTAAACTTTGTTTAGCCTTTCCAAGCCTTTTCTTAACCTGTGTTTTGTGTGTGTGGATTGATGAGACAATTCGACTACCTTCTTTTCTGTACACCATTATTTATCTGCACTTGTAAAAACCAATGCAATTTTAAATAGCCTAAAACCTGCAGATGGATTAAGTAAAATCTAAAATCTTTTACTAAGTAAAATAATTTTTATTAAGATTTATCGTTTATTAATACTTGATGTCAAAAAAAGGAAAAGCACGGGATATTTCGCTTGGTGTTCGTTTCCCTGATAACCCTAAACAATAATGATGAGTACTAATTGACGATTGATCAAATATTTCATCACAACATACAAGAACAAAAATAATTAATTTTGATCCTGTAACATAAAGTTACAGTTAAACGTATCCCCCAGATTAAGTGTATCATATTCAATCAATTATCATGAATGGTAACGTATGATTATTTTCTGTCACAAATAGATATGATCATGGTAATGATGAAATAGAATTAATGCCTCAAGATGGGCTAGATATAACATAATTGTATGATTGATTGTATGTCAAGTTTGTAGTTACAGGCCCTCAAAGGCATGATACTCTTTGCCGTTAGATCTTATGTTTTGTTTAGCAAAATAATGTAAAGTAATGTCTTGGACAATGCCAAAGGACACTTGTGCCGTGACAGGGATTCGAACCCCGTACCTCTTGCTTCATAGTCCAGGGACCTAGCCACCAAGCCACACCTCCCCACTGTGTTTATCCTGTTTTTGTGTGTGAAAGCAGCTCTTACGATGATGCGAATACTCCTACTGTTCAAAATGTAATAGCAATTACAAAAAATAAGAATATTGATAAGGAAAATGATATTAATTATAACAATTATGATATAATGATACAAATTAATAATAATTCATAATAATAATGAATTATAATAATATTAATAATAGTAATGATAATAATCATGATGAGGATGATGATGATAATAGTAATAAAAATAATGACAATATTTATATCATAATTATTATTATACTATTATAATAACATAATTTTTGAAACAATATCACCATCAAAATTTAGTAGAAGTCTTCATGCTGTGGAACTTCCGTTTATTCAGCTATGCCAAGAACTTCATATCTCATGGCCTGGTGCCCCTGCCACGTGACTGGGTGTATTCTGACGTATCGAGCAGTGATTGGTCGAGGGAACAGTATGGTCTCGGGAGTGCCGTGATCGTAGTTTGCTGCGTAGATCTGGAGATCGTGAGGAAGAAATGATAATTTTAAAGGCATTGTATGAATTTTTCTGTTAAATCAAAAAAATAATGTATAACACTATATATTTCGCGGCATAAAGCTGAGTTGCAAATGTGCACTCAAAAAGTAAAATAAAATTCAAAATACAAGTACAGTTCATGGAATACACATTATAGAATTGGGTAATAAGGATGTCTAATAAACACATTTAAGCTGGGTATCAGTATCGAAAATGATTACATATAATCATGTACAACGTAATATATAGTCAAAACTTCTCTCCAGGGGGAGGGGTCACCTCTCTTTCCAAAATATTAACTTTACCGTTGACTTTCTGAATTTGTGAAATGATCAAGCAAATTCAATTTTGACATTTATTAATCTAATGCAGTTTTGCCACGAAACATAGAAGATGAAACCAAAAAAATAGATGTAATTCCAATTAAATCTTGCTGCTCGAATAGGCAACAGCAGTGTGAAATAATGAGCAAGACTGTTGAATAATAGTTTTTGTGTAGAGGAAGGAGGAGGGGTGGTAGCATATACCATGGGAGGCAAAACAAATGTTTACACCTAGAAAATTGCTTAAATATTTAAAAAAAAAAAAATCATCTATGGACAGTAAATTAATATACATCTTATGAAAGAATATTTTTATCCTAGATCATTTGGTATCATTTTTGTGTGGTAAGTGGTTTGTGCCCATGCTTGGATGAAAAGGAGGCATTGATTGCGACTGTGCCTAATACTATCATGAGTTCAAATACAAGCGCAAGCGAGTTAGCACGAGTCGATGACAAATGAAGGGCAAAATACGTGTTGTGAAGTGGGGCTATTTTTAACGTTTAACTTTTATGCGGCCGGCCCCCTCTATTCTGGAATGCACCCAATCTCCCACAGACTACAGTTTTTCTCCTCTTTGTAGGGCCGGGGAAGGCTTTATCGTGAGTGCTATTACATGAACCTTTTTTAATAAATATATTATGCGGAATTCCGACCCAGATTGCACAAAGTAAAATGATGATCATCCCCAATACACTTGCGGTTTACATGTGCACTTCCTCCGTATTCCCTTATCCATGGTTACCGTCACTCCCATTTATGTATGGCCGGCCCCTTCTTCAATAACGGCTCCCAAGCCTTCGGGAATGCCCCCACCATTTGGCCATTTTTAGAGGTGATTTTACACTAACCTTTTTAGGCAACAAGCATGCTTAGAATTTTTGAAAATAAGCTGAATTCCATACTCGGTTGTGCACAAACTAAAGAATTAGAATACAGTCAGTCACCCCGCCCCCTCCATGTGCGCACAATTCACACGCATACCCCCCCCCCCCAGTTTTTGCCTTATTCGCCGTTACTGTCACTGAGAGTGCCATGTCTTTTTCCCTTTCTCAGCCGGCTTCTCTCTTCCTTTTTTTCTTTCTTTCTCTCTCTCTTTCTTTTCTTTTCTCTTTTCTTTTCTCTTCTCCTTATTTTGTCTTCTTCTTCTTTTTTTTTCTCTTAAAAATAAATAAATTATTATTTCCTTCTCTTTATTTTTGCGCCGCCAATAGGGGCACGATGAATATATAAGAGTCTTTAAAGTTCAATGCGAGGCAGTCTGTACAAAAGGCAAGGGGAGATCTTGCTATAAAGTCAATGCTCTTTAATTGTACTTTTTTTAAAGAATGCTGTGGGTCAATTAGTCTTTTAATCATTCGTTATATAATTAAACTTTATTTTCATGACCAACGCTTTGGAATACACATTACCACACCATTATTCTTTGTGTCAGGTCTACTTACCTTGATTTCCTTATCTTTCTATGCTCATTACTCAGCCAGTATACATTTTCTACCAAAATTGTTTAGAAAATGACACTTATTGAGTTCCGTTAGAGTATGTGAGAATTCATTTTTTATAAAACCAGAACTCAAGGTTATCTTTAATGTGCATCAACAACAGGTCGACAATGCAAGATTTCCCTATGCCTTTTGCACACACAGTCTTGCATTGAACGATAACGGCTATATATTGTATATATATGCTCTAAATGACATGTGCTCAGTTTCCGAAGTTGTATCTGACTGGCATAAAGTACTTACTTTTTGTTCACCACATTGTGGTTCCAAAGCGTAAGTCCACATCACGTTATCCAGCGAATAGGACACCTTGACAGAAGTTATCCATTGTACCGACCCGTATCTGCCTTGTACGATAACACCAGTGACGGTAGAGGTCTTTCCAAGATCTATCTGACTCATCAATGCATTAATAGAAGTAAGAATTAGCAACAAGTATAAACTGATAAATAAATATATAATGTATATTTTTAAATAGCTTTGACAACCCAAATATTGGCTACTCTCTTGGAAATAAATACACATTTGTAAGTGATGCAGGTTTTATTAGAGAAAGAAGGCGCGTAGCTCTATCAAAGAGGAAGTGGAAGGCAGATGAGTTTAACAATGACAAGCCGCGGACCTCAGTCGGACGCTAGCTTCGAGCTTGAATACGTGCCAAGTCGTAATATATATTTACAATATATATATATACATAATGTGTGCATGTGTGTATGCATCTGTGTGTGTCTGGTGTTGTGTATAACATGACGACGAAAACAAATTTGAAGAAGAGAGGTTTCATGCTCTTCATCCAATTTTTAAAAAAATTAAATCGCAAATTTCGAAATTTCGAAATTTCGAAATTTTCTAACATCTTTATGTAGTGATCAAGACAACACAATATTAAGAATGAAAATCACTAGAGGTTTTCCAACTGTCTAAGGCAATGTGAAACAAGTTTATAAGTAGGTGTGTTTGCAAAATTTACGTATAGTTACAAGGAAATACTCGCTTTCAAAGCAGTAGGGCGAGGTTATATAAATCATCAATGATTAATACCATCTTTAGGGTTCGGGTTCGGGTTCGGGTTTCATTTGGAATATTGGAGGTAGATAGTGCTATTTAGTTTACGAACTTCAGGAAGAACGGCATTTATGCTGAAGTTGCTTTCCGGGGCAATCGTTACTATAATTAGTTTTGTCGGACTCACCTTGACCCATTTATCTTTGTCATCATCACTGGCAATCCATGCCTCTCCTGATACTCCGCCGTTCAATCTTCCATTTGATGCAGTGTAAGCATTATTATACCTCGACGAGGAGGTGAGACTAGAGTCTGGGATTCGTCCATCTTCCACTCCCATTTCTTCCCCTCGGATAGGACGTGAACAGCTTCCCTCTTCATGGTTCATCGCAGCTGAAGACAACAAACGTACAAACAAACTTTGTCAGTATTTAAAAGAGATCTATTAAGTCTTTTATGGTTAAAAAGCTAGTTGCTATAAAAGAGTTTTCAGAAAACCGAAACTCTTTGAACTCATTTGAGTTCAACTACTGCGAACACACCACAGGCGTGCATAATGGCATAATGATATCGCAACGCACCTCCTACGAACTGGAGATGAACACAAGTGAACTTTTAGAATACCACCTCTAACCAACAACAGAACGAACAAGAAAATACGACTGGCCCCAAGTTTTGAGTCGTTTTGGAGTCGATTTGACGATTTGACTCAGGTATTTATAGCGTCGTAATTAGTGCCGTGCTGGCTAATCTCCAGCCGAATATTTAAACCGTTCGATAACATCACCTACATAGATACTAAGTAATGTGGTCCGGTGGATAAGCCATCGGACTGAAGATCACAGGGTCCGCAGTTTAATTCCCTGTCCTATACAAGTGTCCTTTAGAAAAACATTAATCTATACTTTCCCATGAGTACCTGATATGTTTCAGCGCTAGTTACTCTGGTGGCTCAGCTATAACTAGTGTAACAACAGAGACTTTTGCACGTCGACAAAGTGGACTGCTACGTGTGACGTCCTTGTGGAGGTGTTGTGGTCGAGTGGATACGTTACCGGACTGTCGATCACAAGGTCGGCGGTTCGAGTACCGCCGCGGCACTAATTTCCTTTGGCAAGACATTGATCTACCCTTGCCACACTCAACCCAGGTGAGGTTAATGGGTACCTGGTAGGATTTTTCTTTGAAATGCACTGTGCGCTGATCAGGCTGCCGGAGCTAAAGCTAGGGTAATAATTTCTGAAGCTCTTTGGAAGCGCATAGAGATGTTATTTCATGACGTATTATAGTGCGCAATACAAGTCCTTAAAAAAGACGTCACACGTAGCAGTGCACTATGTCGACGCGCAAATCCATGAGCGCCACAGCATGACGTGAGGGATTAAACAAGTGATATGTCCTTGTTTAAGTGGCCCAAACACGTGGATCAATGTGCGAAGCGCTCTATAACTGCAAGGAAAGGCGTTTCATCAAATAAATGTACCATTTGGTTTGGCTTGAATAAGAAGACATTATTATTATTCCAATCCTTCTTTTGCTGCTGGGTCTTTTTAAGGATCTAGCCTTACCCACCTATTAAGTCATTGAGAGGTCCATAGCCAGTGAGCTCAAGCCTGAGGGACCGGTGTACATTATTGGCCGTCTTTGGATAGATACGAAAGAATCGGCATTCGATCGGCTTAAAGATGGTGTGCACCACAAAACTATTTGGGTCGTAGTTTCCTGTGTAGACCTATTCGAGATAAATACAACCATAGGATAATGAGATTAACTTGAGTTTGAAGCATTAAATTTCAAATATCAAATGATCAAACTAGTTATGTTACTTTTGAAATATTTGTTCCTTTCTTTCTTTGCTACTACTCATTTGTAATACCTCTGTGAAAATTGTTCACTGTTCATTTCTTCGCATTTTAACACTATGATAGAGACAAATCTTCATTTGCACATATTGCCACCTTTTCTGTACATATTGATGTCATTTAATTACCAATATACTCGACCTTCATAAGACCCTTATATTCTTATAACTTTCCGTGTGTCTGTTGACACAATTCTTGATAATAAAATGTCATTCTAAGTGAACGAATAATCAAAACATGGATAAGTTTTTAACAGCTTTCTTTTATTCTTTATTCTAGATTCTCATCACGTCATATTTTTTCTCTTTTTCGCCATACTATTAGGCAGTTAGGTTTTTTTTAATATAAAACATTAACACAGCAATTTGTGATCAGGACACACTTAATGTTTCCGACAAAATGTTGTTTCTGTCAGTTAGATTTTAATGGGGTTTGCACATGTTTTACTACTTTCTAACAACTTCCGACGTACATATCCAATTTTCTGTATAATTTTCTGTGTTTCTGAGTAATATCTTTCTCGTCCCTCCCTCTCTCTCTCTCTCTCTAAAATAATAAGATGATATAAGGGTGGAATAATAAACATCCAATAACGAAGTGAATTCTTTATAGGGGATTTCATTTATGGATATGTTATATTTATACTCAGTGTCGTGGCTGTATGGGGGCAGACGGGGGGGGGGGGGTGAGCACGTGCCCCCTAAGCCACTGATTATAATCATTTATTGCATTGGGATTTAAACTCTTGATATGCCTCAAATAATCTTACTGTGTCACGTTGTATTTATCATTGGATAGACGTACCGAAGGCTTCATGATTATTTAATTGTTTCCTGGGCAAGATCTATACCCGTTTTGGAATGTTGTTACAAAACAAAAACGTGCAAATAAACCTACAAGTTACAATACAAATGAAATACACAACAATGTGAAAAGAGTTAAGTTAATTTAAGTTAATCATCAAAAAGCTTTTTTGAATAAATTTGTCTTAAGACAAACAATCACGATCGGACAAGGGTGATTTTGCTAAACCACTGTCTTGCAGAAAGGCCAGGAAAGCAAACCAAGTGTTAATACCTTGACTGTGTTGGTGTTGATATCCTGGTAGTGGGTCCAAGATGCTCCGTCCATACTGGATGAAACTATGTACGATGTCACCCACTGGTCTGGACTATCTGCTCTGCCTTGCGTCAAGATGGCGGTGATTACATAGGCGGAGTTGAATTTGATCTGAAGCCAGGGGTCTTCGTCATCATCTTTGGGGACCCACGCAGAAGGACTGTTCAGACGGGCTTTTGGTTTACCCAACTTATAATTGTACCTACTCGAGATTGAAATAGCGCTGTTGGGAACCTTACCGCTTTCTAGACCGACTGGACTACCACGAGGTGTGGTACACAGGTTCACTGTTAACAAACAATCACATGTCTTTAAAACTTAGAACGCTTTATCTAACCCCAACACTGACCCTCAACATTACCTTAATCCCTATTAAACCGTATTCTTAAACCTATGGCCCGTATTTATCATTATTATTATTTTTTTTTTTTACTAAATCTTAAACATTTCTAAAAATTTAACATGGAAAATTTAATGTAGGGTCTCAGTTTTCTATCGTTAAATGTTATCTTAGACAAGGTCGTGTTTTTTAAGAATACAGTACTATATCTTTGACAAATTGAAGCCGTGAACAATTGTCGCCTAAGAAAATGTCTGAGCACCGTCTTTTTTTTAGGTGTAAATTTTATTACGAACCTAAAATGAACAGTATGTGCCGAATAACGAGGAGGTTATAGATGGAGAGTCTCAACTAATGATAATAAGTGGCAATTCATTAAGGATGCACAATAAAATAAACAGAGTGTCTTGATTATCTGATGTCTGATGCTTCAAAACTACACAAAAGGGTTTAAGTCAATTTTTTTTTAAACTATAGATAAGAGATGTTTTGAATGTGCAGCTAACTCCTTAAATTAACAAGCACAGAAAATGAATGTGCAGTTGTAGATAATGCCCATGTCTTTCTTAATTTCCATGGCTTTAACATTGAGAATTTCTTGAGAAAAATATTTGACGGAACCCAAATAAATTCCCTTTATAGGGTATTTCAACACCTTTTCGTTAATTAGATTTTCGAAGTTTCATCTTGTTATAGTGAAAGATGTCTGTATGAAATGAAACCAATCAAATCTATAATTCGGTATGTAAAATATAATTGCAATTAGATATTCGTTGATACATATTATATTGTGATGCAGTAAAACAAAGTTTGGTTTGCCGTTTCCTGTCGTATTAGCTGAAGCTAATAAGTCTGTATGTTGTGATTTCATCTATTTCAAGTCTCCTAGTCAGCACACTCCCATTATTCTGAAACACTTACCAGTACAGCAAACAACAGCTATACTCTCCTCCCTAGGATTCATCGCCGCACTCTCTTCGTACCAGCAGTCAGCAATGCTAGTCACATCGACAGGGCATCTCACAGTCACAGCCTCAGAATTATTATCTAAGGACATAATCTCGAAGAGATCTCCTCCCACTGTCGCATATACATCTTTTTGCATATAATAAGGATGAACAAAAAATATGAAAGATCAATTAGAAAAAAATATGTTTGCACTTCTAACTCTAGTTATGATTTGTCTTAATTATATGTAATTGTCTTAAATCCTCAAAGATATTGATGAATTCTGGTCATTGTTTATTTATCTTTATTCAAGGAAATACATATAACATAGTGATAAAAATGTTACATAAAACCCAGGACCGATATTTGAATTACATTAGATGCATCTCACTAGGAGACCTACGCCCTTAAGTCATAAATGACAGTAATGAGGATTAATGCCCCACAGCACATCGACAAACACACAAAAAATGCAATAGATTATCAATAATTCATTGAATCCCCCCCAGTCCCCAACAGAAAAAAATATTCTGTGTGCAGATGCCTTGAGCCATAATGCATGGCCGTACAGAGGATTTTTTAATGTTGGGGACCGGAATTATTGGAAAATTTGTTGCATTTTCTTTTTCTTTTTTATTTGTGGGAACTGCCCCCTACCCTAGCCCCGCTGCGTACAGTCATGGTTCAGTGAAAAAGCAATGGCCTCGTAACTGTGAGGCCCCAGGATCAAAACCTTGTCGATGTGCTATATTAGTGCCCTCTTGTGGGGCATTATTCCTCATTACTGTCCTTTATGACTTAAGGGCGTAGGTCCCCTAGTTGATAAGCATAGCAGCGTACACATGCTTTAGCATTCACGAAAAAAAACACTGGCAATTATTATTCAATAAAATCTGAGAATGTATACTGTTAGCTCGATCTATTAGGAATAAATCGTTGTCAAAATAATTCCATAAACTGGGGTAAAAAAAAATATTCCAACTTTATGATCAACAGTGTATATGGAGAGAATACAGGACTGTAAACTTAATAAAGCATTTACCGTCATATCCTAGATACTTGCAGACCAACCGTGAAACATTCCTGGACCAGTTTAATTGATGGATTAACATGTAGGTTGTAGGGCGAGAACGAGATGTGATAACTATTCTTCCTTCACTTTTACTTCCACCGACTAGTCCCACGGACTGGACGAAGGAGTCTTCATGCAATGAATTGAGCAAAAATACAAAATGTAATGATCCTGTTGCAAAAATGTCAGGACCGACCAAGGATTGATCCCCGGACCATTCGTATGAGAGTTATTAATGATAATAATAATAATATGGATATTTATATAGCGCCGGTATCCGCCAGGCTCTGACGCTCATGGCGCTGTACATATAACAATCACAAACATATCACTTTCTTAACTAAAATAAAGTTAACTAAAACAACACAAATTATTACGCTACATTGAAATAATTAAATAGCACTGAATAGAAAGAGATGGGTTTTAAGAGCAAATTTAAAGTCATGGAGGGCAGTTAAGTTACGAATACAGTACCACTCGTAAGCTCTTGAACTTATTAAAAAAGTTTCCAAAGGTTGTTGTTGTGGAGTTATCCCCCTCTCTTTTTCTTTCTTTCTCTCTCTCTCTCTCTCTCTGTCTCTGTCCGGCTCTCTGTCTCTCCCCGTATCTCTCAATCGCTCATTCGGTGCGTCTCGTTCCCTGTCTCTTTCTCTGTCTCTGTTTATATTTGTTTATATGTCACTCGCTCTGTGACTCTCTTTCGCTCTCTTTCTCATGTAATTAATCTCCTCCTCTTACCGTGTTCGCACCTGTCTCCATAGTAGCTATCCAGGCAAGTGCAGGTAAACCCCTTATCTGTTTCCTCACAGGTTCCTCCATTTTGACAGGGGTTCGATAAACACGCTGAAATTACACCACACAATATGCATGTAACAAGTTATTAACTGGACGCCATTACTTGATGACTTGAAACTGACACTTTGATGTCTTAAACTTTATAACATTTTTTTCGCAGTAAATAAATTATATTTTATATTTCTAGACATGTAACTATACCCATACAAAATAACGTACAAAACAAACACATCTAAGGGAGGTGTGAAATATCAAAATGATAGTACAGTGCAAAAGAAGAAAAAGACATGAAACACGTCATCCAACGAAGTACAACGTTTTTTTTCTTCTCGAGACTCTCTCATGTTGTAACAATGAAACTAATTTGTTTTTAAATTGAATATCTGAGAGCTCTGAAAGCTACATTACGTCATTCATTATAATCATTAATGTATAACCTTCACTCGTCCCCCTCCACAAAGAAAAATGAAAACTGCAAAAAGCATTTATTCTTTTTAATGAGATTTTCGCTCTTCTGAAAAAGAAATGCAATAAAATGCATAATTATGACATTCACACCGACTTATTTTTTAAAGTTTATTCCACCTTTGTTTCCTAAGCTGCGCTCATCCAGACCTTGCCATCAGGAGGGGCAAAATTGTATTTCGCTTCGTCTTCACAGAATGAGTAGTATTTCTAATTTCTCAAAGAGCAACCTTTCAATTATTGACGAACCGGACTATCCTCTGGAAAGAGATTCATTCCTCGAAATGAAAATCCATCTAATTCTGCTATAGATACCCCCATCCCCTTCGTCGCTTGTTTTAACAGTGTTAAAGGTATAGACCAGTTTTGGAAACGCCCCCCTCTCAAAAAATGAAATTGATACTCTTATTACCAATCATGTGAAATAATATGTTTTGACTAATAAGTGATGATACAAATTTTACCGGGAAACCGCCTACTAATTGATATATTTGGTAAATCATTATATCTATCCGGACTGGATAGATATCACGTAGTCCCATACACATCATTCTGTGTACAGTGCCTGCAACTTTACCAAGACTGGGCCAAATTTCTTACAATTTTGATGATTCCAAAACCTTGCAGTACACACTAATACTTATATGCTAGATCACGGGTGGCCAACTTGCGGCCAGCGAGCTCTTCTGGTGCGGCCCGCGGAGCTTTGAAAAAGTAATTATAAAAAAAGCTCATCAATGAAATGCGGCCCGCAAAGCGGCGATGAAATAGGGTTAACAAAATTATACACAGCTATCTCTATTTCCGTAATTTGTTTTCATCATTAAAAACTTATTGACTCGTTACGTGGTTGATACAAAACACCTCTAATTCCCTCTCATTACTTAATTTTAGTTTGTAATTTCCGCACGCAGTAACGTTTGTTAATATACAAATGTTGTGAATCGAGGAATATGTTTGAAATGCCATAGTTTTCTCGAAGCTTAAAACGCTTTCCGCTTGGTACGACGGTTTTTGCTAAATTGCAGGTGTGTACACGTATTGCATGAGTGTGTGGGTGTGTGTGGGGGGATGGGGGGTAAGACTACCTTCACGGCCCGCCAAGTTATGCCAATCGTTAGCTGTGGCCCGCGAGCTTTAAAAGGTTGGCCACCCGTATGCTAGATCATCAACCTTTTTTGATCGATTCCACAATGTTTCTATCACAATGCATTCGCATGACCAGAACTGGCCTATACCTTTAAGTCATATCTATGCTTTTTGTTTATTTATAATGAACGAGCGTTTACAAAACAAGACATACCTTACCGGTTCAAAGTTGTGTTTATTTATTTAGGTGTTTCACAGAAGAAGACTTTCTGAGTACCTAACTTGTATAAAATGACCAACCCCCTTTTTAGCCCATTCAAAACATTTTTTTTTTTTTTTTTTTTTTTTTTGGGGGGGGGGGGGGGTAAGACTACCTACACGGCCCGCCAAGTTATGCCTATCGTTAGCTGTGGCCCGCGAGCTTTAAAAGGTTGGCCACCCGTATGCTAGATCATCAACCTTTTCTGATCGATTCCACAATGTTTCTTTCACAATGCATTTGCATGACCAGAACTGGCCTATACCTTTAAGTCATATCTATGCTTTTTGTTTTTTTGAAATGAACGAGCGTTTTCAAAACAAGACATACCTTACCGGTTCAAAGTTGTGTTTATTTATTTACGTGTTTCACAGAAAAAGACTTTCTGAGTACCTAACTTGTATAGAATGACCAACCCCCTTTTTAGCCCATTCAAAACATTTTTTTTTAGGGGGGTGGGGTAGGGAGTATCGGTAATGATTTAATAATAATCCTTCGGGTGAGTCTATTTGTTATTTGATTTGACTGATGGACAATTAATCTACCTTTTACTCCAGCTTACTGGCTTAGGCAAGGATATGTTGACCGAATGGTTAATATTGAAACTGAAAACTCTACGACTATAGAACAGAACGTGGGAACAGAAAAAAAATCAGTCAGATTGTTCAAAATGATGGAATTATGGGAGCCTATTACAACAAGATAACAACTTAACGCATTCACAAAGAGTCTAACAGATGTATAAATACTCTCGTCAGCTTTTGAGTGGGAAACAGAGTTCCAGTTTCTCTTTTTTCCCAAGAGCTGCTGGTGACCATTATTTATATTTGATTGATCCGCTATGCTTAACAGCATCAATGAAATCCACTTAGCATGCATTATTTGTTACCATGCCTGGCAAGCTTTAGAGTGGTCCAAAATAACTGTTGTTCAAGAATTATACTTACAATTTTAGTATACCGGTCTATTGTTGGCGATATTTGTAAAGTAAAAATTGAAAAGTTGGCATACCTAAATAATAGATTCAATTGAAGGCCGGCCAATGAAGTTGGAAGCGTTGTTTACAAGCTCCGTCAAATGGCTTTTCCATATGAAATACTATTATAATTTGTGGATAGATATGTATTTAGCTTACAGGACCACTTGGGTTAGCACGTTGGTAAGGTTATCTGAGAAAGATGTGTAGACTGACAAGGAATTGTCCTTGACTATATTGTATAACCATGTAACTATTGTAAATTCAGTGTCAGAATAACTGTAATCAATTGTCTCAGATATAGATCGTCTGTGTTATTGCGTCTTTCTAGTTAAAAAAAGAAAATATCCAAAATATCTACGACTTGTTTTCCCGTGTATGATAACAAGCTTTTTTTTTATTTTATAAATTCGTTACTAGAATGCAAATTGACCTAGGTCTTATTTATTTATT